GGGACACAGATGGGTTCTTAGTCGGGAGCCCAGCGTAGGACAGAGCTCGTGAGCACAGAAATCAGGGACCTGCAGCAAAGTCCAGCTTGGGGGGATCCAGGGCCCAGAGTGCCCCCCCACCGGGTCCCAAACCAGGCGACTGACTCGCTTCCAGCAGCCCAGCCCCAGTCACCCCCGGCTGCCCCCCTGCGGCCTTTGTCTCCTTCCCGGGCAAACAGGGCCCCTGGGCTCTGGTCTCCAGCCCCTCCGGGGGCTCTGGCAGGGGAGGGGCCGGGCCGTCAGTTGCCAGGATACAAGGTGTCAGTCCAGGGGTCTCTGCAACGATCACACCCCCTGTCCCACCGTCTAGATACTGGAGTAGCACACAGGGGAAACTGAGGCACACACATGTCACGGAGTGTGGGGGAGTCAGGGCCCTGCACCCCTCTTCCTGCGATTCACTGTGACTCTCAGCCAGCCAGTAAAACGGGAGGTTTATTGGACAGTAGGAACGCAGGCTACAGCAGAGCCTGTAGGTACAACCAGGACCCCGCAGTCAAGTCCTCTGGGGGGCAGGGAGCTTACACCCCAGCCTCGGGATTCCCTGCGTTCCACCACCCAGCCCAAACTGGAACTAAAAACCCCTCCAGCAGCTCTCCCCCCCCACCAGCTCCTCCTCTCCTTTGTCCCGTCTCCTGGCCAGAAGGCGTCACTTCTCCCAAGCCCCCTCCTGGCTCAGGTTACAGCTCAGGTATCTCCCTTCAAGGGAAGTCCCCCATCCCCAGTGTAACCCCCTGCAACATTCCCAGGTCAGTCCGCCCGCTCCCTGCTCGGTCACAACACACTATTCAGAGAAAACATTAAGAACATTCCCACTTCAACACATCCACCAACCCGTTCAGCTGCACCAGCTCCCACATGATTCAAAATGAATAGATAACACACACCCCAACCGTGTCCCTGTGTGGTGACCCCCCATACACAGCCCCATCCCTATGGGGCTACCCCCCCTGTAGCCTGTCTCCTTGCCCCTGGCTCTGTCCCGTCACGGACCCCCAGGATCGTGGCCATGGCCCCAGCGTGGGGACAGGCTCTGGGAGGCCCCGTCAGTGGGCCAGGCCCCCGGGGGGTCTCACCTCCTGCAGGGGAAGCCACACAGCTTCATCGCCTCCTGGGGCTGGACCCCTGGGCCTGCAGCCCCCCTGCTCCCCCCGTGAGCTCCGGGCAGCGAGTCCCCCTGAGACAGACCCTGATGGAGACTTGTACCATCTTGGGGGGCAGTGTCTGCAGGGACACGCAGGCAGCGCGGGCTGACAGGCGGGTTATTAGTCACCTGGACCAGCCCAGGGAGCGCTTGGGGAGCCCGGAGAATGGAGGTTAAAGCATCGGCCATGCTGGTGGCCTGGCCTGGAGCCCGGCCACACTGCAGGGACCCCTCGGTTTCAGCTCCATCCGTCGGATCTCCTCTGTTGGACCCCCGGGGGTGCCTGACTGCTCCCTTTGCTCTCGGCCTGGTGTCCTGCAGAGGGGGGGGCCAGCCACGGTCATTGGCTGCCTGGTGTCCGGGGCCGGGTGACTGGCTTTGCCGTTGTCCCCATGGATTCTCCACTGATATGGGGTCGGCCTCAGCCAGTCCCTTTTCAGTGACCCACTTAGCCCCAGACAGCCGGGCGCCATGCACAGCTGTGTCTTACCCTGCCCCGAGTGCAAGCGGTCCCTTCCCCCCACCCAGGTGACACTGCAGCACAGAGGGGAAACTGAGGCACACGCAGGCTTCGTACGATGATGATGTAAAATTCCCACTGTCCCCCCGGCGGTGCCGGCTCTGACATGGGCTGTCCCTGCAGAACGACTCCCTGATGCGGCAGATGCGGGAGCTGGAGGAGCGCTTTGCCGGGGAGGCGAGCGGCTACCAGGACACCATCGCGCGGCTGGAGGAGGAGATCCGGCACCTGAAGGATGAGATGGCGCGGCACCTGCGCGAGTACCAGGACCTGCTCAACGTCAAGATGGCGCTGGACGTGGAGATCGCCACCTACCGCAAGCTGCTGGAGGGCGAGGAGAGCCGGTGAGCGGGCGTCTGCCCAGCCCGGCCCCTGCCCCTGCCCCGCCAGGCGTCGGCTACTGGGGGAGCAACGCCTCCTGGCCCAGGACGGGGAGCTCCCGGTGGGTGCTCCTGGTCCGCCCACCCCAGGGAGCCCCAGGACGGGGGGCCCCCAGCCAGCCCACCCCGGTGTCTGTGGGGCCCAGGGGACCTCTCTCAGCCGTGGCCGCGGCACTAACCCCTTTTCCTTCTCCGTGTGCTGCAGGATCAGTCTCCCCATTCAGACCTTCTCGGCGCTCAACTTCCGGGGTGAGTGCAGGGCAGGACCCAGGCAGGGCAGCATGGGGGGCGCCCTGAGCCCCCTGCGGTGGGGCATGCCTGGCATAAGCCATGGGGCGAGTGGGGCGGGCTGCAGGAGGCAGCTGGGCTGCCCCAGCCGGGAGGGCCCCATGGCTGCTGTCTATGCTCCCGGCCAGCCCTGGCCTGGCCCAGCCCGCCGGCTTGCTGCTTTACCCAGGCCAGCCAGTGCTGGAGTCCCCGCCTGCCCCCAGCCCATCGCCTTGTGCCCCGCCCTCTTACCCGCCGTGGCCAGCCCATCGCCCCATCCCCCCCATGGCCCAGCCCCCCACCCTGTCCCTCCCATGGCCCAGGCCCTGCCCCCCACCCCCAACTCGTACCCCCATGGCCCAGCCCCCCAGCCCCAGTCCCTCACCCCGTCCCCCCCATGGCCCAGCCCTGCCCCTCGCCCCTCACCCCGTTGTGACGGTGCTGCCCGTGGGAGGTCACTCAATCAGGGTGAACTGCAAACAAAACTGG